CAAAGAGGCTCGTTGTTAACTCCTTTCCTTTTTTAACATATATTTTTATCGGTTATTGATATGGATAGATTAATAAGATAGAAAATAATATGTAATCTGATAACAACTTTTGATCAATTTGCAACTTGGACTGATCAATAATTACTTGATCTAGTTGATTAATTCGACTTTAAGGTGAGTATTAAGTAATCTAATTACAAATCAAATGTGAGAAAAAGATTTATGGAACAAGAAAAAATGGAATTAAGGTGAACTTTCGGTAGCCCAAGAGAACAGAAAATGTGAAGAATTTAGTGAGAATATTGTAAAGAAATAAAACTAAATTCGATAGATAATTAAAAAATTTAATTAATATATAATCGATTTTTAAATAAAGAAAGCTATTTTATTGTGTTTCTATTTGCAAGTAAATGATATATCAATCTTTTTTCTTCCTTGTCTTGGGAAATTTTTCTACTAAAAACTTCAATCCTGACATTTGTGTGCAGAGGTCTTATTAATAGACATTTAATCTATAGTTATTCGTCTACTAGTCTGGTTTTTCTTGCACATATTTGTGTAGGGCTTAAAAGTCTTAAAACAGCAAAGAGTCATGGATTTATAAATAACTAAACTACCATTAGGCTTCATATTATGTACATTTTTCAAACTATATTTAAGTCTTTCCAGATAAAAATAATCTGTAGGTATTTAATCTTATGTGAAACACTCAGAAAAAAACCCTTTTTCTATCTAATCTCAAATTCCCTTTATTAAACTTATTTTTCTTCAAATTTAAACTATTACCATCTCTATTCTAACACTTCATATTTCTACTTTATTATTTGTTTAAAAGTATGCCCTTAGCAGGATTTCTAAAAATTATAGGTTCCCATTTATTCATGAATAGCTTGTAGCATAACAGTAGTAATAAAACCAAAAGCATTCCAAATTTCATTAATCACCTCATTCGAGGTGGTTTTAGCTAATTAGTATGAGCTTAATTGAAGCTCTAAACAATTACTTCCATCTCTAAAACTCCTTCACAGATTAAGTAAATATCCTACTAATCTCTTCTTAAACTTTATTGCCTCAAAATACGAAAAATATGAAATAATATTTAAATATTTTAAGGTGACACATATAGTTCCACACTACAGTATTCATTGTGTATTAATTTCACTTATAGAAATTTTGTTTCGACTAAAATATACGCAATGAAAAAGTGGCTTAATTAAATATCCATCTCACTGATGAAGATAAAAATCTAAAAATTGATTCCTAATTCTAAGTTTTTGATAAAATCTACACTAAGAATACCATAAGTTAACAAAACCAATTCAATTAGCAAATAAAATTTTATAGCTTCATTATTTCAAATCTGGCTGCTATTATTTAATGGAATAGCAATAAATATATCTCAAATCAATAAATTATTTAAATAACACATAAGAAAGCAAATGAGAATTTCTCCAATATTAAACCTATAAATTATAAAATAAGCAAGTCAAATACAATAACAATCAATACTAAATAATCAATTGAAAAATTTTTGTGTGTTAATGAAGAAGATTTGGATTGGCTATTTTTGAAAATTAAACAAAGACTGAATATGTTAATCTAAATCAATCCAAATTTCTCCATGAATTCGAAAAATCATTGATCTCAGATTTCTTAATATCATATTTTTCATTGAACCTAACCTTACATCTACCCTCTAAAAATTAATAAAGATAATATCAGACTTAAAAAGTCTTATGGCTAAGGACAAAGCTCACTATATCAAATTAATGTAAGAAGCTATATTGAAATTTCATGTTATTTTCTCCTTTAACTATTGTATTTATTGGACAAAAAATATTATTCACAGTCAGTTTTCACTTGAATTCTATTAATTAAATCCTAAGATAGGAATATCAAACTATAGAGCACTATATTCTTTCCTATTATCCTTTTGTTTTAAAGTAAAATCTAATAGCAGATATAAAACCAGAAGAATTAAAATATCATTTTATAACATTAGTCAAGAAATTTAAACACTTTATCTCTTATTTTGATGGCAGCTTAACCATTATATTGTATGGAAATCACTTATAAATAAAAAATATTAAATTATTAGATTTTCTATTAATAGAAGATATATTAAAAAAAGTTATAAGACAGCCATTTAATTACAATAAATAAATGATTAATTTTCTTTGAAATTTGATGATTTTAAAACAATTTACTTAAATTATTATCAAGTAAATGAGAAAAAATAGTACAGAAAAAGTTAAACAAGATTTGCAATTATTTAAGATTGCCTTTTAAAATTACAGAAACAGAAATCTACCAAGTCCTCAAAATTCCTTGATATAATAAATTAAGATTAAAAGACTTATTTTTTTTTAATAGAATGTATTAGTATTGATAATATCTGAATACTTAAAAAAAATAAAATATGCAGTCTTCTTAACATGAAAAAAAAACTGATAAATCAAGCATTTTATTAATTGGTTTTATTACAGATACAGATTACTTGAGATTTATTCAAAAAAAGAGAATAAATATTTATCTTTACACTCATAGAGTTTTAATAATTCTAAATATAACAATTGACTTCAGCAAAAGTTGAGTAAGGTAATCATAATTTAAATGATAAGGGTATAAATATAGGTTTTATATCTGCATAAATACCATCTACCATTTTTTTTATCTTTTAGTGCTTCCTTATCCAAAATTCTTCAGAATTAATTTAAATTAACTTTAGTATTTATGGTAGATTCCGAGTATTAAATCAGCTTAATAACAGAAAAAAAGCTATTCAATTCAAATCTTAGCATTGCTATCTCTTAAATTTTGTTAATAAAGATATTGAATACATACTTAAAAGCTTAATGAAATTTTTATCAATATATATTATTAATTTATGAATTAATATTCATAATACCATAATATTATTAATATTAGTACTAAACTTCTTTATTAATATTTATTTCAATTAAAGACTTCTGTAAAAAAGTCTTATCAGATCAATGGACATACTTTAGTAAATTTTGATATACCTACAACTAAACTTAAAAAAAAAAATAGCTATTTATTCCCTTTTCATCTGCTGTTCTCTATTATGTTTCTTCCAAAAATAGTGATAAGATTTTACAAATTACTTTAAACTGCATTAATTATTGTTATAAATCTTTGAAATTCATTTATATAGGTAGTGTTTCCAATTCACTGCACTATTTTGATCTTTAAGTTTCAGCATAAATTATTTCTTTCAGAAATATTCATTTTATTCTGTTTTTATAATATCCCAAATGTTATGATCTTAAGTTTCTTTTGTATAAAGTTTTTCTAATTAATTAAGTTAAAAAATAAACTAAAAAAAAGAGTAAATTAGGACATTCTATTAATGAAACATTATATATTATTTTCTGACATAAAAGTCTTTACTGCCAGTGTTGATAGGAATATCAATAATAAACAATTTATTCTTTATCATTCGTATTATCATTATATATTTGATTTTATAGAAATTATACTCCTCTCTATTTCACATTCATAATGATTTTTCTCAAAATCATGCTATAATGAAAACATCAAATTCTTCATTGACTTAATAGTTTTGAAATTAATTAAAAGTAAATTAATTGTTTATTCAATAATGAAAAATCGTTATTTTTTATGAAGAATTTTAAATGGATGTAAATTTTCATATTTTTAAGAAGAAAAATTTAATCAACCATCAATCATTACTATTGATAAATGATAATAATTGTTATTTATCAATTTTAAGAATATGAGAAATTAAATTTTAAAGTAAGTTATTTCAATGAAATCAACAAATTATTTTCTATAGACAAAATTTTATTGACTTTTTATAAATTATCTATGTTATTTTCTAATTTAATTCTGGAAAGAGCTAGGAAAGATCGAAGATCAAGTTTATCATTTTGGTTTTTGAAATCCTTTAATTCATGATTCTCAAAAAGTAGGCTTTAGAAATATTTAAAAATAATGCAGGTATATGTTAACAACATTAACATTAGCACATATCAAATTTTCTAATTGTCGATATTTAATCTATTATTTTTGTGAAAAAAGGAATTTTTCCAAAAATGAAAAGGTTAAATTACTAACAATTAACTTATATTTGAAATAACACAACACACTATTTTTATTTAAGGTTACTTTACTGTCCATATATTATTGTATCGATGATAGTTTTAATTTATAATAATGATAAGAATCTGAGCATGCTTGCTTTTTATTTTTAACTTCTTATGATTTTATTTTAGAACTCTAAATCGATGGTCATAGTTTATAAACAGATTACTAAATATATCTAAATGAATTCCCTGGATTTTTATTATTTTGTAGAATACTAAAGATAATATATATTATTTATATCAATTAATATTCTTTGATAATAATTTATTTCGATATATATTATAGTAAATTTAAATATCATAAAAAGTGACTCATAATAAAAAGTGTAAATTTATACTGAAATAATGCTTGATTTAAGTTTGATAAAGTGGATTAAATTAATAAAAAATTATTTTATTAAAATCCAATATTTCAATTAATTTTTATGGAGAAAATTTTAATTTAAATCTAGATGATAGAGTAAGGATTGTCTTTTTAGAAAATAATTATTTTTGATTATATCGATTAAGATCTATCTTAACCGAATGTTATAATAGATCATCCTAACAACTTTAAACGCTTCCTAACTGCTAAAGGTAATTTTAAAACCTGCTTGAAATTATTGGAATATATTTTCATATTATTATTCCTTTGCTTCTTTTTTTAACAAAAGTACTGTTTACTATACTTATAAATAAATATTTATTTCATTCTTAATTTAGAGTTTATATCCAAATAATACTCAAAGATACTATATAATTTAAAATCT